AAATTATTCTTTCTTTTAACAATAATTTACACAGTTATTTTATAACTAAAACAACNATAAATTCAAATTTTTTCATTGGCTATAAATTTAATATATTAAAAAGGCATTTTATTTCTTTGAAAAGATGCTGAATTTCATGAAAAGGTATGGTAAAACTCCATTTGGAGTAAGCATCGGCGGATTCTTTTACGTTAAGAAGAACTTCTTTATTCGAGTAAGTTTTTTATGTATATTCTTTAACTCTTTATTAAACTTCATGTATACACGTCGTTACTAAATTTATGCAAATCTATTTAGAAGTTATTTATAAAAATCATTAGATACAGAAATCTGTTAGTGTGTACAGTACATAACAATTTTTGAATGTTATTTTACAGTGTTTGAGTGCCATATATTCAGCGCTGTCCGTCTTGACTGAACTTCTAATTGCAAAGAAGCCGTCTTCTTGTAAAATTAAGATTGGAGACTTAATACAATAACGGTATTTTGCCTCACAGGCTGACTGAATGACTGAAGTCAAAGCTTGAATGTGAGTAGACTTAATACAGAAAAATGAAATATTGCATTCGAAAAAGGACGTCCAAAGTAGATATATAAAAACATCTGAAATCTCAAAAAGTCAACGTCTAACGAAACGTCAAAATTTGAATCTCGACTCTCTTGAAGAATATACATTCTGTTGACATTTCATTTAAGCGTTACCTGCCTAATTTTCTTAATTTTATGATATTAGTTATTTATTACTTTGTTCAGCTTAAATGTAGATTCGTCTGACAGAAATGTAAAACTCTGTCTAAGAATGAGGACGAAAGAATTTCGAGTGACTCGACAGAACAATTGATTCTGTCATATATTAAACCTGATAAAAAAAAAATTGATGTCTAGAAAAGTATTTCATTTTTCGCCTTAACTACAATTTTTTCTGATCATAAATTTTAGAAGAACGACTGGTGAATATCCAGTTCTGAATGGAAAAGACTGATACTTCACTTTCAGAGTTTGATTCCTGGATGTCTGTACTTAAAGATGAAGAAAATAGACGGTTACACTAGTTTATAAAATAGTAATGCATTTGAATGCATGAAGAAGTGTTGCTTAGATTTATTAAAAGTGTGTTAAAGTTGGAAGATAAAGAAAGAAAATACAGTGATTACTGGTCTTACATGTAATAAAAGTGATGAAGAGAACCTAATTTTAGTGCAAAATTTAATTTAAAATACAGTCGAACCTCGGCTTTCGAACAGAATTCGTTTGTAAAAGTTGTTCTAAAACTCAAACAAATAAGAAACAGCATAAAATGGATTTATTCGGTTTTGATTTCCAAAGTGAAATTTTTTAAAACTATTTTAGCTGTGTTTCATCCATAAAAATGTCTACAAATGCAATATTAATACTGTATAAATCAAATATTAATATTAAAATATATAATATATTAATAAATTTTTGTTATTTAATTTGAGTTAAGCACCTTTAAATACGAATTATTGAATGTCATTTATATTATGCAAAT